GCATGCATCGCATGTCGCCGGCGCGAGACTTCCCAAACCCATAAATTGTTTATTGCCCAGAAAGGTGGGCCGGGAATCGGGTATCGGGGATCGGGGATCGGGGATCGGGGATCGGGGATCGGGGATCAGGAATATATATCTGCCATTTAACACTCGCTCCTCGGGCAGCTGAAGTTTTTGCCCAGTTTTGTTGCGTTGGCGTTGATGTTTTGCCGACTTCGCTGCCGGTTGACAAATGTGCCGGCCACATGCGCCGCTTAACTAAAAGTGTCGGCCCAGCCGGTTGGGATTAACTCTGGATAATGGTCGGGAAAAGGAATGGGGCTTTAACTATCAAGTTTCTACCTACCTCGATGCCGACCAATCAATGCGGAATACGTGCGAAGTTAGTTCAAATTAATATGTTGGTGTTTCAGACAGCCGCAGCTCTAAAATAATGCATTATTAGAAGGGTGTTTGGTTATTACCATACTGTTGGTTTAACAAAACTATAAATATATACTACAAAATTTATTTCCTATGTGTACATTAAAAAAATATAAATATAAAAATCGGAACTTAAATTTATAACTCCAAAGCTATTTCTAAAGCCGGAAAAATAATAATTAGTTCATAAAATAAAGTATTATCTTGCAATACAAGTAAATCTTAGTAAATACAAAATACTCTCAAGATAAGGATTCAAATAAGTTTAAATATATATACACATACAAGAGTATCTTCATCGTCGCATGCTTAAATTAACTTTCCTTTGAGTCTCCAAGTGGTTTGGTTCAGTTGATTTATTAAATACTTCTGCTGAATGCGATTGCAAGAGACTTTATTTGCTGTCCCTTCGATTATGAAATGGCAGTTAGAGTCTGATTATCAAATCGATGTATTGCAGTGGTTAACGGATATTGAATAAACCACTCGTGACTGCCATCCTCCATATTAATTCTCGACCCCCCAGGTTGCCCTAACTGATACTAAGGCCAACCGCAGCAGACACCACAAAATGATGCCATTCCCCCATCGCCGGAAAATCCCCTTTCCGAGCCTTTTGGAAAACCACAAGCGTCCACAGCTGCTGTGGAATGGCCCAAGGCGAAGTGGCAACGTGCGAGGGACTCGCGACTGTCAAATTAAATTAATAAACACAACAATTGGCAGAGGCGAGACGGAGCTGAAGTCCTGCGAGTCCTGCGAATCGTGCGAGTCCTGGCCAACTGTCCACTCCCACATTTTCGGGGGCGAATGGCGTCGGCAATTGTAAATGAAATTTTTATCAAATTGAGTTTCGGGCAACGGCACTGCGGCAAAGACTCAACTTTTGGCATGCCACAGGCTATAACGATCCCCCGCCAATCCCTTCACTTCACCCGCTTTTCGTCTCCGGCCAGAGCATTTTGTATTAATTACAACATAGCCAGCGGTATTGGCGCTACAAAAAGTTTCAACATAATTGATTTCATTTTTATTCTCGCTTTCTCCGCCGGCCAGCGAAAGCTTTACGGTCATGGCGTGTGCAGTACATGCACCCTCGAGTAACTCGTCGCTACCACCGATTCCTGCATTAAAGTGCAAATAAATTGATTGAATTATTGGCTGGACCAGAAGATGCGTCCTCTGTGCTGAAACTTACTTTTTAATTTACTCAGTAAGCCGAATAAAAGAAAAACAATTGATGCGGCTTAGTAAGGCTGTCACGATTCAGGACTTTTGGTTGCCCCTTAATTTACTTAAAAACATTTTCGAGGGGAGATAAGTTTAAGTTTAGTTTAACCTTTAAACTACCTTATGTTTATTATTATTTCAAATTGTTATTCTGGTAGTTAAATTGTTATTTTGAAATAGAATCAAGTATGTAAGTAATACTACAAATAATACTTTCATAAATATAGAAACAGTATAAAAAAGATGCACTTTTCCTTTGACTTTCTGACTTTATCAAAGAACTTACACTTATACAGCTCAATTTAATACAGGGTATATAAGCAAATGGCCACCAGATTGGTTTTATTTTGTGTGAGTTTTTACACTGTTTTTTTTTTTTCATTGGACTGAGCACATTCTGCTATCATTGTCCTGCGGCAGTGCGTTTGGTTGGATATTCCTTTTTGCACATCCACAGATTGAGTTACGCCCGCTTGTCCTTTGCGAACGGCGTCGGTGTCCTTGTCGTCGCCTATCAGTCGCACTCGTCCGAATCGGATTCTCGTCCTGGCAGAGGGATCCTGCAATGGCCATGGCCGTGAACAGGACGAGTTTTTTTTTCATCTGCTGCTCAGGACTTCCCACTTTGGGTGGCACTTTGGTTTGGTTATTGAAAAATCGGATATTGCGTATTTTTTAATTATGAACGAAGAGACTGAATATTAAGTCCCATTTGGATTTAAATTTAATTAAACTTCACTTTGGGCATGTTGCCTTTTTCTTGGTCTTTGAGGGATTGTTAAACGAAAGCCGGTCTTATTTCGACATTTTAAACATTAAATAAACTTTAAAGCACAAATACCTCCCCATCTTTATCCAATCTGAATTTCTCCTAATTCCCAGAACATGTGCATACATGCAGAAATATTTTAACCCGCTCGAGCAGTGCAAAGTCCGTTGAACAAATAAACTTGAAAATACATATCATAAATGCATAGTTTTGGTTCTTTTTTCAGGGAGACTGCCAGACTTTGCTATTCATGTTTGGCCAGACGCTCGAAGGATCGTGGGGCCATGGAAAGGACCATGGGACAATAGCCAGGACCAATGGCAAGGACAAGCTGCTGCTGCTGCTGCTTCTTCGCCCGCCACTGCAGTGGCAAGCTCGAAATTTTAATGATATTAAATACATACAAAGCTGTGCCAGTTCGTATTCACGTGTGTGTATCTGGGCACAATGCAGTCGGCATTAAGTGGAAAAGGATGCGGCAAAGGATACACTCACACATGGCTAAGGATAGGCAGACATGCATGCGTAGATTTTATGTATTTGGCTCACGATTTAAGCTTCTGAGGAATAGGAGAAGGAGCCGGTGAAGACGTTCGCTGCGGCATAAAATCCGACAATGCGAGTGAGTCCTACCCACAGGATATGCGCCAAAAGCAGCCGACAATCAAGCCAGCCCGAAATGATGTACTTAATTCTTCGCATCTACTTTTTTTAGCGCCGTTCCTATTTAATAAACTGCATGCAGTTTTCCGCTCTGCTCTGGGGGAAATGCAAATGAAACTGCAAGGAGGAGGGAAATTCGGAGAGCGAAATCCGTGGCGCTGCCACCAGCTGCACCGCAGGAGTCTAGAGTCTAGACCTTGACGGCCACATCGCCGTCCTTGTCGGCGGTGTCGACTCCGATAAGCATACGCCCTGTGGGCGCGCCAGATATTATAATACGTGGCCATTATCCCGGCTCTGCCGGCGATAAATCACACCGGGACATCTTTGTGTGCCAGCAGCAGACGCAACACCATTGCAGACCACCAGCAGTCCACCAACACCGAGAGAAAAAACTATAAAAAAAATATTTTTTTTGAAATTCCCATCCCAAGACTATTTTATAAAATAAAATTTAATTTTTCTGTTAAGAGATTTTATTCCGACGTTTTAAACAAAAATGTTAGAATAGTTAATTTCATTTAATTTGAATTCAAAAAAATCATTTAACTGATATTAACAACAGCATTTAATTTAAAATTAATAAATCATAGGTAAACAAGACACCCTTTTCTGCACCTAACATGTTCATAAATAGTTCAAAACATTTTAAAGATTTTTCTGTGAGTGTAAGAGCAAAACCCATTGAAACGGTTGTCCTGGAAACTGGAGCAGTTGGAGTCGGACAGGCGGTGCTGTGCCGGTCGAGCAGACGTTTGCCTGGCCATATCTGAGTCGCTGCATCGCGGGCACGCTCATAAAATGTTGCGCCTGCTCACACCCCGCAATCAGATGCCACCCCCTCCCCGGGGTCGACAAATTTGCTTAGAATTTGAAATGCAAGCCAGACAATGGCCGCAGACAGAAAAAGACGGACGGAACGAGGATGCGCTGGCCATGAAAAGGAAATAAAATCCGAAAGTGGAGAGGAGCCGGTGCAGAAATTGTTACTCCGGGATCTGCATTATTATTATTATTATTTCAGTCGCAAGTTCAAGTTCATGGTTGACTCTTGACTAGAAATGGAAACTCCTTATAATGGGGCATTGAGAGACTGCCGGATAAGAACACCCCTCTTTCCATCTAGAGAAATGATTTGATAAGAAGGCTCTGGTCATGAGGACTTTGTGGCTTCAATATGTCTTAAATTGGTTTTAAGATCATTTTGACTACCTCTCATTTGTAGTAAAGTCTTTAACTTATAATTTTTCATGTAAAAATCACTTTTACTTAAACATGAAGCTAATCAATGTCTGGATTAAAGCCGCCACCCTAAGGATCGAACTCTGAAAGCTGGCCTCGCAATTAATTTCCTTATGTACATCCCATAAGCAGTTTATGCCGAGTTTCGCTCACCCCTTCGGCTGCATGATTGGCCCTTCTGGGACGGCCATTTCATCTTGTCACAATGCCAAACTCATCGCTTCATGGGATCTGCCCGGTTGTATGTGGCCCTGGTGAAACTTTTGAATAATTCCGTGGACACTCAGCAGCATGCTCCATCGGCGCCCGCCCCAGAATGCAGCTATGCCAGCCAGGACTGATCCCTGCGCCCCATCCGTACTATCCCCTGTACCCCCTCCCTCGGACCGTTTTATGGCCATGTCCATGTCTGCCGTCTGCTCTCGTGGCCTTCAGACGCTCATAAACAAGCGACACAAGTTGGACACTGCCAGCGGAGCATCATCAAAAGTGGGCGGAGCGGGAACTGGACGGGATTGCGACTGGGATTTAGCGGAGGGATGCGCGGAAAGGATCTAATGTGCTGGGCGTGGCCCTGCATTTATTCGTGTGTAAAATTTTAATTGAAATATATATTTAAGCAGGGAAGAGGCAGCGAGACAGCGACGAATGTCATTTGTAGCTGTAGCTGTATCCGTATCTGTATCTGTCGCTGGCCGTGTATCTGCATCTCGCAGATGCGGATGCGCGTGTGCCTCGCTAATGTTTTCATTTGCATGCGAAGGACATCAGCCCGGAAGCGTGTTTATATGCAAATGTGTCCTGTGATTATCGAGGCTGCCCTGAAATGTCTGTTCCTGCTGCTCCTCCTCTTCCACGGTTACGTCTGGGTGTTAACTATTTGTTTTTGTGCGCAGATTTTGTTTGGTTATCCCGGGGCGTGTACTTTTGTCTGGCCATCAGCACTCTTAAAAGTGTGGGGGAATGCAGACTACTTTATAACATATTTTAGTGTTGCCAATTTAAAAGTTTACTTAAAGCATTGTCTACTTGGCCGGCACATAAGTCTGTCGACCTTTGGATATATCAAGGGGCAACTGGAAGACCACAGCATTAGCCACCGGCTTTTCATTTTCGTAATTTTCCCCAGCGGCACAGAGTGCCAGATAAGTGGGATCAAGCCGTTTGCAGGCACTGCCCGGTCGCATCGACATCCGGTAAACGGGCCGCTCCACGAAAAGATCCGTACTAAAGGCGCACACGAAGGTGAAGTAGTGTACGGAGTTCAAGGTGAATCGCATCGCCGAGCAGCCCACGTGGGTATTTCGGTCAGCTAACAGGAGCAATGCCTTGGCGGTACCACTGGAATTAAATAAATATTAGCAGATATATATAGTATCAAACTAGTTCAAAAAGGGGATCATTTTTATAAATTTCTTTGCAAATCAACCCCACCTTTTCTCCAAAGTATTCGGCATATAGAGGACCATTTTCATATTGATGTTTTCCACGTATTTTGTCCAGTCCTGGATAGTCCGTAGCATCAGCTCGAGGTCCTCGTAGTCGTTCAAGTTGCCCAGATAGAAGGTGGATCCAAGGTTGGTGCCCACGTAGTAGAATTCCGGCGAGCTGAGGCAGAACTTGTGCGTGGAGCAGGTGATGGCCGCCAGGCGGGCCAAGTCCTCCAGATCGTTGGAGTAACTCAGGCGGGACATCCGGGCCGCAGCTGCCTGAAGGTACTTCTGCTGTCCACTGGCCGTATAGTTGCGAAACTCGTTGAAGGCATTCAATAGCGCATTACGGTACATCGACATGGAAAGAGTCCTGGCACTCGGCGGACACATAATACTGTATTTCTATGGGGTAAAACAATGAAAGGGATTACGTTTTATACACTGGTTCTCTGCTCACAGATGGATTGTTGCAGGCTAGGTTATTCTTTCCACAGTAGCGCATCTGGCAGTAGTCGATATAATAGCCCCATCCAAAGGGTATGAAAGTAAGTAGTGCTACGAGAATCAACCATTTTAACTCCATTTCTGTTTAAAGAATGCAAGTCTTACTATAAAAGGTGAAGCTATGCACCGACTAGCTTTTGGCTAGACACCATATGTCAAGCTTAAAACACATTTAAATATCAGTTTCTTCTCGGGAAAATAACTGGAAAACAACGTGCAATTAAATTCTAAGTATTTTGTCGGTTTATAGTTCTAAGCCCCTTTTTCACAATAGAAAAATACAATTTCGATATGGTGGATCCCTGTGCAGGTGCATTATATAAATTAAATAATACGATAGATAAATCGCCAAAGCCTTTCAAGTAGATATAAAACGAAATGATTAAAGCTGCTACATTCTTTGTGGAGTGTGTCAATCGAACAATGTCGTTAGGGATGTGCTCATTAAGAGCACAGCAGTTGGTGATATTTGAAAAATCCATTAGAGTCGCCTGTCCTTCGACCACAACCGCAAGGCAACTCCTGCCCCGCCCTCTTTTCCCATCCCTTTTCCTTTTCCCGCTTCCACTTCTCTTCTGGCCAACTCACACTTAACGCTCCGCGTGGCATAAAATTTCTATACAACAATTTATGTTAAAATTAATGAAGAGCTCGTCGCGGGGTGTGTCCGGGTGTTGGGGTGTTGAGGTGTTAAGCATTAAAACGAGCCCGGAAAAATGTAAATTCCGAATGCCTGGAGCTCTGGACAGGAACAGGGACAGGGGCTCCTGTTGACCCAGGTCGACGGCTGGCCCGCAATGAATGTCATTTGGATTAAGCGTTGGATAAGTTTTTAATTTATTGTGCACACAACACAATGTCTGCTAGTCTCTACAGTCGGCGGATCCGCCAGGTTAAGTGGGGGTGTAAGTGCAGGTTATCTTGGCGTGCTTATCGGAGCGTTCCCATCGCGGCCACGTGCCGTGTCTCACGCTCAGGAATACGATTCCATGTACTCCATGTCCCGCTCAGTTCAGCTTGAGCTGGTTGGGCTCGGTGCCAGCGTGGAGGACCAGGTACTCGGGGGTCATCGGTGCGGTGAGGGTCACCCACGATTTGGGCACGCCGGCGTCATCGCGAGCTGATTGCAGGGCCTGCTGCAGGGCGAAGGCCACCGCGATGGACAGACAGATGGCGGGCTCACCAGTAGCTAAATGAAAAGGAATTCCAGTTATTTGGATTAGAATCCGAATCAGGTTCTTCGAACTCACCCTTGGACCTCATGAAGCCCGCCTTGTTGGGACTCTTGGGCAGCAATTCGATGCGCAGATCCGTGGGAATATCCTTCGCTCCTGGCGGCTTATACGTCCAGGTGCGATTCGAAAGGCACTCGCCGGTCTGTGGATCCACAATCACCTGTTCGCTGGTCCAGTAGCCCAGGCCCATCATGAAGGCGCCCTCAATCTGGCCGATGTCCACGTTGGGGTTCAGACTCTCGCCAGTGTCCTCCAGAAGGTCCACGCGTCCCACAATGTAGTTGCCCGTGAGGACATCGAACTCCACCTCCGTGAGGCACAGACCGCACACGGAGTAAGGATCCATGTCGCCCTGTTTGCACTGGTCGCTGGCGATGAGGTTCACCTTGCGGTTGTAGGCCTCCTTGATTAGCTCATGCCAATTCTCCGGCTTCAGCTCCTCACGTATTGGCTCCAGTCGCTGGTTGAGGGTCTCGCAGGCCTTGCGCACCGCAAAGCAAAGTGTTTCACTGCCCACCGCTCCTCCAGTGACCATGGAGTTGGCTCCGTTGATGGTATCGCTGGCCTCGATGCGCACCTGTTCCATGGGGATGCCCAGGGTGTGGCCCACCACCTGCGATATCTTAGTGTTCATGCCTGGCAGAGTGAGAGATTGAAATTAGGACTTAGGGTCTCTTACCAAAATCAACACTCACCTTGTCCCATTTCGATGCCTCCGTGGGAAACCACCACGGTGCCGTCGCTGTGGTAAATGGCCACGGTGGCGGGATACTGTCCGAAGTAGCCGATCTGGTACTCCATGATGCACAGCCCCAACCCGCGCTTGCGCCAGCGGTTTTCCTTGTTGTGGGCAATGACCTCCGCTCGGCGTGCCCTGTACTTGGTGCTCTCCAGGAAACGTGGCATCATGTCGCCCATCTTGTGAGCCGGCAGCAAGTTGGCAAAGCGCACATCAGCCGGATCCACACCGGTCTCGAAGGCAATGTGCTCGATGATGTTCTCCATCATGGCGATGCCCTCCACCGAACCAGGAGCACGGCACGGGGTGTTGGTCGGGGAATCGGTGTAGACCAGGTAGCCATCCAGCTTGTAGTTGTCGCTAAACTCGTAGCAGTTCTTGGACAGCAACACGGTGTGGCCAATGGGTGATTCGTTGGACAGGTAACCGGCATCCTCGTAGAATCGCATCGAAATCCCCGAGATTTTTCCCGATTTCTGGACAAAGAAGTCGTAGTCACTGTGGAAGGCCCAGCGCTTGCCCACACTGGTCATGATGGACTCCAGGGTCTGGACGAATCGAATGGGTCGGTTCAGCTTGTGGGCTGCAACAGCGGCAGCGGCGGCGGCCAGATTGCAGCGGGTGGCCTTGCCGCCGTAACCTCCTCCAATGCGACGCGTCTTCACCTGCACTTCGTTGTTCTTCAGGTTGAGCACATTGGCGATGTTGTCCTGGGTGAGGTCCATCCATTGGGTGGCGGCGTACACCTGCATGCCGCCCTCGAAGGGCAGCACCACAGTCGTCAGCGGTTCCATGTAGTAGTGGTACTGCAGACCCATGTCCAGCTGCCCGGAGGAACTCACGTCAAAGGATTCCTCCAGTTCGAGGACATCGATGGTGGACTTAACCTTCTGCTCGAGGCGCTTATTGTTGCCAGCTTGGGTACCGACCTTGCCCAGAACGTGTTTCAAGGTGGGCAGCAGCTCCTCCGCTTCGCCCTCGTAGCTCAGTTTCACCAGCTCTGCGGCACGATTGGCCAGGGCATTGGAGTTGGCCACGATCATGCCCACGGGTTGGCCATAGAACTTGATCTCCCCAGTGGCAAATAGCTCCTCGTCTTGACTGAAGAAGAAATCATCCCTGACCTTGGGCCCAATGTAGTTGGGACCAGGAATGTCCTTGGCATCCAGGTAGGCCACCACTCCGGGCAGATCCAGAGCTGGCTTTGTATCCACATTGGTAACCTTGGCGCCAACCTTCTTGGCGGTAACAAATGCCGCCCACAGCTGGTTGTGCTGGGTGGCCAGATCGTTGGAGTAGGTGGCTTCGCCGGAGCACTGGATCATACCCTCGTGCTTCTCCGTGGCCTTGGTCACGGGATAGTGTTCCTGGAAGGTCTCGAAGCTTTGTTGGCCTCTGGACACGGGCCTTACAAGAAGGGAGCTTCCTGTGAGGAATCGACTGGCCAATCCCTGTTTTCGCTCGGCCGCTGTCTTCAATAGGAACTTGTAGAAGAGACCGCAGGCCAACTTGCGACGGTAGATGGGAGAGGCATCCGGTAGGATGGCATCGGGTTGCAGCAGGGTGGACAGCTGTCCGAAAGCCTTGTCCACCAAGCCGTTATCAAAGGGATTCTTTCCCAGGATCAACTTCTCAATCGCTGAGGCATGCACAAATTCGGGATTGATCCCTCCGAAGCAAATGCGGGCTGACTTTACCTTGGAGTCCTCTGTAAGCTCCAGGAGGAAGGCCGCGTTTACATAGGCATGGGCGTTCTGGGCACGGGGCATAATCTGTTTAGAAAAATTGTTATTGATTACAAATTGTTTCTACTCATATCAATTATAATAAAAACTCACCTTGTAGGAGTCAAATGCAAAGTTCTCCTTGGGGTAAGCGGGCAGAACTAGACCACGGATAATCTTTCCCTCCATTGAAGCGCCGAGATAGCTGGCCAGGCTCACCGTCTCCTGCTTGTCCACCGCCTCCTGGACGATCACACGGGCATCTAGGGCCTCCAGAACGATGAACACATCCGAGGGGAACTCGGGGTGGGCATGCTTGATGCTCAGGTTGCCCGCCAAGGTGCCGGCCTGGGTTAATGCGAAACGGGTTGATAAACAATAGGTACTCAAGGTGTTTTTATAGGGGTTTGATTAGATATGACTGTAGGGCTTACAAGCGATAACACCACTTTGATTTGACTTACATTGCGCACTGGCACATTGGCGATCCAATCGAGGTGTTGCCACACCTGAGACAGGTACTCGAAACCCTTCGTTTTCTCCAACTGCCGGCACAGCTCCATGGTTTCGCTGAGACTCAGGTTTCCTCCGAGGGTTAGGGAGGAGTTATCGGAGCTCAGCTTGTAACCCTTGAGTTCTGCCAAACCAGATACGTCGATGAATGCCTTGATGTCCTGTCGACGTCTGTAGACTCCGTGGGCTGTGTTTCCAGCCACCAGCATGTAGGGTAGCTCCTCCTTAACTGCTCCCTGCAGAGCGGCAAAGAGCTCGCCCAGATTCGACGGCCAGCTCCAGCGACTGCCATCCGGATACAGTTGACTGCCCTTCGGTTGCTGCTTCTTGCAACTACCGGCGCAAGTTTGGCCCGTCTTGGGGCACGTCTTGGTGCTCAGGTCCTCAATATCGGCGCACTCAGCCGGCACCTCGATATTGCTGTCCACGGCAAAGGACTTCATGGCGTCCAGAATGGGACGGTAGCCGGTGCAGCGGCAGATGTTGCCACCGAATGAGTTCTCAACCTCTGCCATGGTGACCTTGCCACCATTGGACTTCAGCAGACCGTACATGTTCATCACGAATCCCGGCGAGCAGTAGCCGCACTGGGTGCCGTTCATTTTGGCCAGTCGCTGCTGGATGGCATGGTAGCCGGTCCGCTTGTTGCCCAATCCCTCGGTGGTGGTCACCTCCAGGCCCAGGCAGGTGTTCAGCAGAGTGAGGCACGAGTTGACCGCCCAGGTGAGCGGCTCTCCGGTCTCCGGATGCAGTCCGCTCAAGGTGCAGACGCAGACCCCGCAACCGCCCTCCTGGCACATGAACTTCGTACCCGTCAGTCCGGCGTGCTCCCGGATAAAGGTGTTCAGCGATATATCCGCCGGGAGAGCAGCCAGATTAACTAGAGGGGAGCAAAATGTGGGGCATCAGAGGTTATACATTCGAGGTGTTATCTTATCAGGTTAAATCTACTGCTCGTAGCGGAATGACTTTTGCTTTTTTCAGTTTGTAAGAACATATTTACTTCTCAACTGCAAGTGTTAAGTGTTTTTTTAGATAAGTTTTTAAGAAAAAAAAACAGATAATTGTGTTGTATTGATTAATGTATGTAACGAGAAACAAAAATAAAACTTCACTATGTATGTAAACAATTTATTCTTTTCAACAGTTTTGATTCCAGCATTCTCCTTCAGGAAACCTGAACTTAGAAATAAATAAAACAAGAAAGGAAAGCTAACTTCCGACGGAGCCGAAGTTGATATACCCTTGCAGAATATTCTGTAAATTATATTCTTCAAAATTATTCATATGATGTATTCTTAATACTCATAAAAAGTCCCAACTTCCTAACTTTAAAAACACCAAAGTTATGGCATTTCCAATCGTTCAGTTATATGGCAGCTATAGGATATAGTCGGCCGATCCTTATGAAATTTGGTAGGCCGGATTAATTGGCCAAAAATAAAACCCATAGAAAATCCCAACTTCCTAACTTTACAAACACCAAAGCTATGGCATTTCCGATCAATCAGTTATATGGCGGCTATAGGATATAGTCGTCCGATCCTTATGCAATTCGGTAGGTCGGATTAATTGGCCAAAAATAAAACTCATAGACAATCCCAACTTCCTAACTTTAAAAACACCAACGTTATGGCTTTTCCGATCGTTCAGTTATATGGCAGCTATATGATATAGTCGCCCGATCCGGCTCGTTCCGACTTATATACTACCTGCAATAGAAAGACAACTTTTGGGAAAGTTTCAAGCAGATAGCTTTAAAACTGAGGGACTAGTTTGCGTAGAAACGGACGGACGGACGGACAGACGGACAGACGGACATGGCTAGATCGACTCTTCTGGTGATGCTGATCAAGAATATATATACTTTATAGGGTCGGAAATGTCTCCTTCACTGCGTTGCAAACTTTTGACTGAAATTATAATACCCTCTGCAAGGGTATAATGATATAAAGGTGTTCAAAGTTCATTCTGTGAAGCTCAATTAAATAGTAACTTAAGGTAAAAACACAAAAATAGATGATGCTTTTATTTTTATATAATCATTATCGCTGCCATAAATAAGATAACAAGAACACCAAGCCTTTGAATTATTTTTCCAGCAAAAAAACTAAATTCTCAGAGTCACATTAATAATATTAATTTGACATGAATTAAGGTTACTTTACTTCCACAAATGATCTAACTAGCAGTTATTTCGTAGTCGAATTTCTCGACACTATTGTTCCAGTTCGTTGTCTCTACAATCTTGTAGATGAGAGCCCCCATCAATCGAATGGCAATTAACTGCCCACACACGCATACACACCTTCCTGACTGGTGCCGTTGATTGTAATTCTTCCAGCCATTATCTGCTTCTTATATAAGTCCTCGAATCACTTTAGAGCCGTTAGGGAATTGTGAAATTAATTTCAGCCTTTTTCGCCTTTAATTGACTCCAATATTCCTCAAAGTTGTTCTTTAGTGGGTTCTGGAAATTATGTATTTCACCATATGAGGCAACACTGTGTAGTTGTCCGTTGTGGGCGAATTCCTCGCCGATCTCCGAGCGACTGTAGTTTGGGGCCTTCCGGAGTCCCATATATATTCGTTCTCCGGACCCCGAAAGAGAGTCTCTACTTTCCAAGTTCAAGTTCACCTGCTCCCGCTCTTAACTACCGTGCTCTCTTCTCCGCTCACCATTCGGCATTAGATTATAATAACACTCTGGAACGTTATCTAACGTCGTTCTTAATTTCTCTCCCCCTCTCAAAATAGAGAACTTTAACAGTACAGGCTGGTTTAGCTGATTTTGTTTTGCTCAGTTTTCTAAACAAAAATGTTTATGCATAATGATAAGGAATGAGCAGAAAAGGGTGATAGAGGGAACTGAAACGAGTCGAAAGCTCATTTTAACATATAACTCACATTCCAGAGAAATGATTCTTATACATGTTTTTTTTTGCTATGTAAAACAATTCTTAATAACATTCATTATTTGAACATTTTAGAATATAGCCGAATACAAACGATTCTCTGTAATATGTTTCTGTTGTTAACATCTTACTAAACAGTATTACACGAAATCATTCCAGATGTATTTATTAAGGAGTGGCCCTGTGTAAAAAACTTATTTTTTAAGATAAGACGCGTAATTTTCATATAAGATGTTTCATAAATAAGACGTACGCAAATATACATACATGTATAAACAATAAGCTATTTACATATATTGAAAACATAATTTTTAATATACATATGTACATATATAAGTATACCAGCTCCCTGTACCAACTAAGCAATCAAAAACACTCAAAATGAACACAATAAAATAAAACTCTTTGAATTCATTGCAAGGCAAAAGCCTCCACCTGACTTCCGGAGTTCAGTACCACCGTCTCCGGCGTCGTTGGAGCCCCCAGTCGCACCCACTCCCTGGGAAGCCCCGCATCCTTCCTGGCCGACTGGATGGCGTGCTGCATGGCGAAGAGCACTCCGACGGCCAGGCACAAGGCGGGTTCCCCCGTGGCCTTGGATCGCATGAAGCCCACCGGGTTGGGACTCTTCTGCAGCAGCTCGATGCGGAAGTCGATCGGAATGTCCTTGGCCCCAGGTGGGTGGTAGTTCCAGGTGCGGTTCGTGAGGATGCGACCCGTCTGGCGGTCGTAGACCAGCAGCTCGGTGAGGTAGTAGCCCAGACCCATCACGAATGCTCCTTCTACTTGACCCACATCGATGTGCGGACTCAGGCTCTCTCCGGCGTCCTCCAGGATGTCCACCCGACGGATCAGATGATTACCTGTTAGGATGTCCACTTCCAGTTCGGTGAGACTCAGCCCGTAGATGTTGTAGTTGGGTATGTCGCCCAACTTGTACGATTCCGTGGCCACGAGGAAGACGGACTGCAAGTAGGCCGCTTGGAGCACCTGCAGCCAGGTGGCATTGGCTCCAAGTCGTTCCTTTACCGGAGCCAGTCGTTTGTTGAGGGTGTCGCAGGCCTTTCGCACCGCCAGTCCCACCATCTCGCTGGTCATCGAGTTGGCCGTCAGCATGGAGTTGGCTCCACTGACCGTGTTACTGGCCTCCACTCGCACCTGGTCCAGAGGAACTCCGAGCACGAGGGCTGCCACCTGGGCCGCCTTGGTGTTCACCCCCTGACCGATCTCAATGCCTCCGTGCGAGATGACCACCGATCCGTCCTCGTGGTAAATGGCCACTGTGGCGGGATAGTTGAAGGCGATGGTGGTGTTAAGGGTGAAATTCATTAGGGCCAATCCCAGACCCCGTTTGCGCCACCGGTTCTGTGCGTTGAACAAATTGACCTGATCCCGCCTTTTCCGGTATTCCGTGGATTCCAAAAACTTTGGCAACATCTGAACCATTTTGCTTCCGGGCAGAAGATTTACCAGACGAACATCGGCGGGATCTAACTGGCAGGTGAAGGCAATGTGCTCCAAGGCTGTCTCCGTCATTGCAATCCCTGTGAAGGAGTAAAAAAACGAGATTTCATGCACTGTTGCTCAATTTTTTACTAAATAAGTTTTGACGTACCCTCAGCTGTTCCAGGAGCTCGACACCACGTGGAGCTGGGTGCGTCTGTTAAAATAGCACTGCCTTTAGCCCGGAGGTTTGAGTCATTCAGGTTGTACACATTTTTAAGGGTTGGCAGTGTCAAAAAGTCTACGACATTCTCGTTTAGACTACAGCCAGCATCCTGGTAGTAGTTGTTGGTCAGCAGGATGATGGATCCGTTGGCCCGGGCACGGAACTCGTAATCTGATCGACAGGCCCAGCGTTTCCCGATAGTTTCCATCATGGACTCAATGGTCTGTACAAATCTGACTGGGCGCTTTAACTTGGCAGCTACTAAGGCAGCGGCACAGGCCACCATGTTGCACCTGGTTTCCTTGACACCATAGGCTCCACCCACTCGTCTAACTTGAAGCTGAATGGAGTTGACACTCACGCGCAGCACTTGGGCAATGGCTCCCTGGGTGCCATCCATCCACTGAGTGGCGGAGTACACCTGAAGGATGTCATCCAACGGCACCACGATCGTCGTTTGGGGTTCCATTGTAAAGTGGTACTGGGATCCCATTTCAATAACGCCCCTTCCCTCAACATCTCCTGGAGCGAGAGGAGGTAGCTTAAGTGGTTCCATCTGTTCTTTCCTCAAGCTCACGATGCGATCTGTCTGCCCCTCCGCCAGCACTTGGTTCATGGTGGTGTAGATCCTTCGCTCGTCCTTGGCATAGGTGACCTTCACCAAGGTGGCGGCATAAACAGCAACATCGTGGGATAGAGCTGCAACTACTCCTAAGGGCTGATCATAGTACTTAACCCGTCCAGAACCGAAGACCTCCTCGGCTTCTGGAGTCAGTTGACCCAGAGTGATAAAGTTGTTAACCCCAGGAATGTCCTTGGCCGAATAGAAGGCCAGCACCCCCTTGCACCGAAGGGCAGCGGAGGGATCTATCTGCTCGATGGTGGCTCCAACTCGCTTGGCGGTCACAAATGCACAGTGCACGGCGTTTGAGGTGGTCAGCAAATCGTTCATATACATTGCCTCGCCAGAGCATTGAATGAGTCCTTTAAAACTCAATAAATTATTGGAAAAATTAAAACCAAATAACAAATAATTTAATTAACAATTTAGCAATATCATACCTTCCAGCTTCTGTACAGGTTGCGTGACCGGATAGTTTTTCTTTATGGTCTCAAAGGTTTGACTGCCCGAGGATAGAGGTCGTTCCAAAAGCAATCCTCCGGTGCGATAGCTATCTCGAACTCGGTCCTTGGGAGCAGTGCCCAACAGGAATTTGTAGAGCAAGGAGCAGGCCAGGATCTGTCGATATTCCGGGGAGGCTTCCGGTGGCCGTTCTTCGGGTTGAAGACTGGCCGGCAGTTGTTGAAAGATTTGGGCGACAGTGGCGGGATCGTAGAGATCCTTGCCGGGGAGCAGCTGCTCCACTTGCTCATCGTGGATGTAATCCGGTCGAATGTTGCCGAAACAAATGCGAGCAGAGCGCACAATCCTGCGCTGAATGTCCTGCCATTCGATGAGGAAGCCAGCATTTACATATGCGTGAACATTTTGCGCTCTTGCTAAGATCTGGTTTGTTGAAAAAAATCTCATGTATTAGTATTATGTAGGGCCAAAAAAAGTATACCACCTTGTACGATGTGAATAGGTATCTGTCCTTTGGATATGCTTTCAACACAAAAGCACCCAGCACCGATTTGGGAGTGGAGTCGCCGAGATACGACTGCAGGCTCATTATCTTGTGACTACTGGCATTGTCGTATACCAGGACATGCACATCCAAAGCCTCAAATGTGATGAACACATCAGACGGAAATTCGGAATGCTGTCTCTTGATACTGATATTGCCTGCTAGAGTGCCGTTCTGTCCAAACAACACAAAATACATTTTAGTTATATAATAAATATTAGGGCCCGTTAGTCTAAATTCAGTCTACATGACTGTAAGTTAAGTTATATTCATAAGATTTGATATACTTATTGTTAGTCTCATATAGAGAAGATTCAATAAATAAAGCATATATTTACAAAAAAAAAAAAAAAAGTTATATTATTAAAGAATTAGTAAAAAGTGGTTTTGAGAAAAATATCTTTTTCAGCGTCTTAGGCCAAACATAAATTAGATTTAGGAAACTTTGCAAAATAAATTACACAATTTTGAAGAAAATTATAGTCTAAACATTAAGAGAGTGTTTATTCAACAAAAAATAAAACGGAGAGGTATTGCTATTCGCAGACTTCCTCACATTTCTCAGGGCTTTTTAGCGAAGAAAAAGTAATTACGAATTCTACTCACATTTCGCACTGGCACATTGGCAATCAGGTTGAAGTGCTGCCACAGTTGAGAGCAATACTCGAATCCAGGTCTCTTGGCGGCCAGCAGGAAAACCTGCATGGCATCGGTGAGAGTGACATTCCCGCCCAGCAGCAGTTGATCCGCCTCGATGCTGTACTGCCTCAGCTCCGGCACCAAGTTTACGTCGATAAAGTGGAGGATGTCCCTCGGTCGCCGGTAAACTCCGTGGGCTGTGTTCCCTGCCACCAGGATGTAGAGTTCTCCGTTTCCCACCTGGCCGAGGGCCGAGAAGAGCTCCGCCAGCGACTTGGGCCAGTACCAGTGGCTCCCACTTTGGTCCCTCAGCGGAGGTCTCGAGCAGCTGCCCTTGCAGGACTGTCCAGTCCTTGGGCAGAGCAGCTCGAAGGAGTCCTCTATATCCACGCATTCGGGAGGAACCTCAATGGTGCTGTCCACCGCGAAGGACTTCATGGCATCCAGGATGGGGCGATAGCCAGTGCAGCGGCAGAGGTTCCCACCGAACGCATCCTCCACCTGGGACATGCTCACTTGGCCACCATGCTGCTCCAGAAGTCCGTACATGTTCATCACAAATCCGGGAGTACAGTAGCCACACTGGGTGCCATTCATCTGCGCCAGTCGCTTCTGAATCGGATGGTAGCCGCTAACTTGGTTGCCCAGTCCCTCATCTGTCATGATGTCCACATCGTCACAGGTGTTCAGGAGCGTCAGGCACTGTGTTTGAAACCAATAATAGTATATACTTATGAAAACCACTACTTATTTTAAGAGACTAAAATTGTTAACTTTAACTAAACTTTCAATTTTTGATTGGTTTGGTGATCAAGCTTCGAGGTCTGTTGCTCACCGAGTTGGCTGCCCGCGACTGCACCTCCTGGGAGACAGGGTGTCGCCTGCGGATGACGCAGACGCAGGAGCCGCATCCGCCCTCCAGGCACATGTACTTGGTGGCCGTCAGGTGCAGGTGCTCCCGGAGAAAGGCGTTGAGGGTGGTGTCTGGGGCGTAGTCCGCCGCCTGCACCTCATAGGGGAATCCATTCACATTGAATTTGATGCTCATCGCTGCAGAGTCGTCATACGAATGGAGATATTTTGGCCAGGCGTTTCTATTTCAAAGCTAAAACCTGATTACACGATAATTTGGTTAAACGGGTTCGAACCGATTTATACCATCAAAACGGACACTGTGCAAAATCTTTTGAGTCTGCAAATTGCATATTAGTAGACTTTATTAATTTTAGGTAATCCGAAATTTAAAATAAGATTTTTCGTTTATTTGTTAAGTTGAGTTTTTTTTTTAATAACATGAATTATATTTCGTATATATAAATACAAATATGTGTAACTCTTATCACCAGAGCTCCCACCACATAACATACACCAACATTCTTAAACCTAAATCAATTGGATCAAAATGAATTCAATTATTGCAATGCAAAAGCCTCCACCTGACTTCCTGAATTCAGCACCACCGTCTCCGGCGTCGTTGGAGCCCCCAATCGCACCCACTCCCTGGGAAGCCCCGCATCCTTCCTGGCCGACTGGATGGCGTGCTGCATGGCGAAGAGCACTCCGACGGCCAGGCACAAGGCGGGTTCCCCTGTGGCCTTGGATCGCATGAAGCCCACCGGGTTGGGACTCTTCTGCAGCAGCTCGATGCGGAAGTCGATCGGAATGTCCTTGGCCCCAGGTGGGTGGTAGTTCCAGGTGCGGTTCGTGAGGATCCGACCCGTCTGGCGGTCGTAGACCAGCAGTTCGGTGAGGTAGTAGCCCAAACCCATCACGAAGGCCCCTTCCACTTGACCCACATCGATGTGCGGACTCAGGCTCTCTCCGGCGTCCTCCAGGATGTCCACCCGACGGATCAGATGATTACCTGTTAGGATGTCCACTTCCAGTTCGGTTAGACTCAGCCCGTAGATGTTGTAGTTGGGTATGTCGCCCAACTTGTACGATTCCGTGGCCACGAGGAAGACGGACTGCAAATAGGCAGCTTGGAGCACCTGCAGCCAGGTGGCATTGGCTCCAAGTCGTTCCTTTACCGGAGCCAGTCGTTTGTTGAGGGTGTCGCAGGCCTTTCGCACCGCCAATCCCACCATCTCGCTGGTCATCGAGTTGGCCGTCAGCATGGAGTTGGCTCCACTGACCGTGTTACTGGCCTCCACTCGCACCTGGTCCAGAGGAACTCCGAGCACGAGGGCCGCCACCTGGGCCGCCTTGGTGTTCACCCCCTGACCGATCTCAATGCCTCCATGCGAAAGCACCACCGATCCGTCCTCGTGGTAAATGGCCACCGTAACAGGATAGTTCAAACCCACGGTCGTGTTCAGCGGGAAGCTCATCAGCGCCAATCCAATACCACGTTTGCGCCAACGGTTTTGGGAGTTGAACAGATTGATTTGAGTCCGACGCTTGCGGTACTCTGTTGAAGCTAGAAATCTGGGCAGGAGTTGCACCATTTTGCTTCCAGGCTGAAGATTAACCAGACGAACATCCGCGGGATCTAGTTGGCAAGTGAAGGCGATATGCTCCACGGCGGTTTCGGTCATGGCAATGCCTGCAGATGGTAAAAACAAATCATTTGTATTGTCTATTATAAAGTAAAAATTTATGAATTTAAGGAAACAATAAAAACTGTTCATTATGTTGTAGAATAATATGTAAGCATAACTTTATTTGACTTACCCTCCGCCGTTCCTGGAGCTCGGCACCAAGTAGAGCTGGGTGCATCTGTTCTGATGGCGTTGCCTTTAGCCCTAAAGTTCGAGTCGGTCAGGTTGTAAACATTTCGAAGGCTTGGCATTGTCAAAAAGTCCACGACATTCTCGTTGAGATTACAGCCGGCATCCTCGTAGTAGTTATTGGTCAGCATGATAATTGAGCCACTTGCGCGGGCTCGAAACTCATAATCTGAGCGGCAGGCCCAGCGTTTGCCGTTGCTCTCCATCATGGACTCAATAGTCTGGACAAATCTGGCAGGTCTTCTTAGTTTTGATGCCACCAAGGCCGCGGCACAGGCCACCATGTTGCACCTGGTGACCTTCGCTCCATAGGCTCCGCCCACTCGTCTAACTTGCAGTTGAATGGAGTTCACACTTACGCCCAGCATTTTGGCAATGGCTCCCTGGGTGGCATCCATCCACTGGGTGGCACAGAACACCTGCAGAATATTGTCCAGTGGCACCGCAATAGTCGTTTGCGGTTCCATGGTAAAGTGGTATTGCGATTCCAACTCTAGTATCCCCCGTCCAAGGACATCGCCAGGTGCAAGAGGGGGCAACTTTAGGGGTTCCACGTGATTATTCTTCGAGCACACAATCCGATCGGTTTGCTTTTCCGCCAGCACTTGGCTCATACTCGTGTAAATCTTCCCCTGATACCTCGCATATGTGACCACCACCAAAGTGGCGGCATAGACAGCTGTATCGTGGGTTAGAGCTGCAACTACTCCCAAAGGCTGATCGTAGTACTTCACCTGCCCAGCAGCAAAGAGCTCATCCACCTCGGGGGTGAACTGATCCACAGGAACAAAGTTGTTTGAGCCCGGTATATCCTTGGCCGAATAGAAGGCCAGTACCCCCTTGCATTGGAGGGCAGCGGAGGGATCGATCTGCACGATGGTGGCTCCAACTCGCTTGGCGGTCACAAATGCACAGTGCACGGCGTTTGAGGTGGTCAGCAGATCGTTCATGTAGGTGGCCTCGCCAGAGCATTGAATGAGACCTTCAAAAAAAACATTGTTATTAAATAAATTCATGTTTAAGAATTAGCATTACCTTCTAGCTTCTGTACAGGTTGCGTGACCGGATAGTTCTTCTTTATGGTCTCAAAGGTTTGGCTGCCCGAGGACAGAGGTCGCTCCAAAAGCAATCCCCCGGTGCGATAGCTATCTCGAACTCGCTCCTTGGGTGCAGTGCTCAACAGGAATTTGTAGAGCAAGGAGCAGGCCAGGATCTGTCGATATTCTGGGGAGGCTTCCGGTGGTCGTTCTTCGGGTTGAAGACTGGCCGGCAGTTGTTGAAAGATTTGGGCGACAGTGGCGGGATCGTAGAGATCCTTGCCGGGGAGCAGCTGCTCCACTTGCTCATCGTGGATGTAATCTGGTCGAATGTTGCCGAAACAAATGCGAGCAGAGCGCACAATCCTGCGCTGAATGTCCTGCCATTCGATGAGGAAGCCAGCATTTACATAGGCATGAACATTCTGTGCTCTTGGCAATATCTGTTATTTGAGAAACAAAGAAAATAACTAATATACCATTCAATGAATTGCATTACTTACCTTGTAAGATCTGAACAGGAATCTCTCCTTTGGATAGGCCTTGAGGATAAAGCCACCCAGCACCAGTTTGGGTGTTGTATCCCCGAGATAGGACAGCAGGGTCATAACCCTTTGGGTAGAGGGATTGTCGTAAACTAGGACATGCACATCCAAAGCTTCGAATGTGATGAACACATCAGAGGGAAATTCGAAATGCTGCTTCTTTATGCTAATGTTGCCCGCCAGTGTACCATTCTGTTAAAATATTAATAATCAGTAATAATCAGTCCCTAATTTAAAATTCTCGTAGTTTAATAAAGTCAGGACGAAAGACCAATAAAATATATTAAAGATTTCTTTAAATGTCAAGTTCAATTTTTTTCTGTGTGTCTTTAGCTACTTAAAATGATTTACTATCTTTGCTGTGAAAGTAAACTGAGTTTTTAAAGTTAGCTATAAGAGAGTTGTTTGGTTTTGACGGGAAATTGGTGAATGACAATAGACATTGAATTAATTTTACAAAAGTTAAGTAACTTTGCATTCTATTTTATAAATATATGATGGAGCTAAGTATATTTGATAATTATCGTAAGAATAATTGATCATCTAAATGTGAATGTAAATCTAAGAAGAAAGAGCATTCACATGTCTAAACTTCAATTATTTTCGGTTATCTTCGCTTTGTCAAACGACAAAACGAGTTTGTGGATTTATGGAGTGTTTTATACTCACATTTCGCACCGGTACATTGGCAATCAGGTTGAAGTGCTGCCACAATTGAGCGCAATACTCGAATCCAGGTCTCTTGGCGGCCAGCAGGAAAACCTGCATGGCATCGGTGAGAGTGACATTCCCGCCCAGCAGCAGTTGATCCGCCTCGATGCTGTACTGCCTCAGCTCCGGCACCAAGTTCACGTCGATAAAGTGCTTGATGTCCCTCGGTCGCCGGTAAACTCCGTGGGCCGTGTTCCCTGCCACCAGGATGTAAAGTTCTCCGTTTCCCACCTGACCCAGGGCCGAGAAGAGCTCCGCCAGCGACTTGGGCCAGTACCAGTGGCTCCCACTTTGATCCCTCAGCGGAGGTCTCGAGCAGCTGCCCTTGCAGGACTGTCCAGTCCTTGGGCAGAGCAGCTCGAAGGAGTCCTCTATGTCCACGCACTCGGGGGGAACCTCAATGGTGCTGTCCACCGCGAAGGACTTCATGGCATCCAGGATGGGGCGATAGCCAGTGCAGCGGCAGAGGTTCCCACCGAACGCATCCTCCACCTGGGACATGCTCACCTGGCCACCATGCTGCTCCAGAAGTCCGTACATGTTCATCACGAATCCGGGAGTACAGTAGCCACACTGAGTGCCATTCATCTGCGCCAGTCGCTTCTGGATCGGATGGTAGCCGCTAACTTGGTTGCCCAGTCCCTCGTCCGTCATGATATCCACATCGTCACAGGTGTTCAGGAGCGTCAGGCACTGTGTTTGAAACCAATAATAATAGTATATACTTATGAAAACCACTACTTATTTTAAGAGACTAAAATTATTAACTCAAAGTAAACTTTCAGTTTTTGATTGGTTTGGTGATCAAGCTTTGAGGTCTGTTGCTTACCGAGTTGGCTGCCCGCGACTGCACCTCCTGGGAGACAGGGTGGCGCCTGCGGATGACGCAGACGCAGGAGCCGCATCCGCCCTCCAGGCACATGTACTTGGTGGCCGTCAGGTGCAGGTGCTCCCGGAGAAAGGCGTTGAGGGTGGTGTCCGGGGCGTAGTCCGCCGCCTGCACCTCATAGGGGAATCCATTCACATTGAACTTGATGCTCATCGCTGCAGAGTCGTCGATATGAATGGAGATATTTTGGCCAAGCGTTTCTTTTTCAAATCGCAGCTGAAACCAGATTACCCGTTAATAAGGCCAAACGGGTTCTAGCTGATTAAAGTGCCATCAAAGCGGACACTGTGCGAAATTTTGCACTGTGATAGTCGTATTTTTACTGTTTGATTAATGTATTAAAGTATAATGGCAATCTCCTAAAGCATGAAAAATAAATATAACATTTTAAAGCTAATAAAATTCAATGCTAAATTTTCCTCAGTGCAAAAGTTTTCTTATGCAAAAATATTTTCTTGATTAAATATAAAATAGATCACAAAGTGTTATAAAGTCACATATGAATGATAAACTTATCTGGTAAATTATTAATGGATATGATATAGTCTTAACATATTCCGATCGCATTTCAAAAATATTTCGCAAAATAAATGTCAATGTCACTAATGCTTGCAATTAAACAACAAAGTAGTAAAGTATTGATAATTGTATATATTTTAAACATACATGTAGCATAACAAATATAAGTATAAAAATGTTCCAAAAATTCACCCAATCAGAGATCTACTTAAGTCTAAAACCGGCTGCTTCGTGTCCTGCGTTGAGCACCATCGTTTCCGGAGTTGTGGGAGCTCCTAAGCGCACCCACTCCCGGGGAAGCCCCGCATCCTGGCGGGCTGAATCCAAAGCCTGTCGCAGGGCGAAAACCACACTCACAGCCAAACAGCATGGTGGCTCTCCAGTAGCCTTGGACCTCATAAACCCAGCTCCAGTCGGATTAGGTTTCTGGATCAGCTCAATGCGGAAATCGATGGGAATATCCTTGGCCCCCGGCGGCTTGTAGTTCCAGGTTCGGTTGGTCAACAGGCGACCTGTCTCCCTGTCGTAGACCAACTGTTCACTCATCCAGTAACCCAGACACATAACAAAGGCCCCCTCGATCTGTCCAATATCTATGTACGGACTCAAGCTCTCTCCTGCATCCTCCAGGATATCAACCCGTTTGATCTGACTGTTTCCAGTAAGCACATCCAACTCTATTTCGGTTAGAGCCAGGCCGTAAATATGATAGTTCTCCATATCGCCCTCTTTGTAGTGATCCGAGGCGATCAGGTTGATGGACTTATCAAAGGCAGCCTTCACGGTGTCCACCCAACTGGCATCCTTCTTCTTCACCGGCTGCAAACGAGTGTTGAGGGTCTCGCAAGCCTTACGAACCGCATAGCACAGACTTTCACTTCCCACAGCTCCTCCGGTGACCATTGAATTGGCTCCATTAATGGTGTCAGAGGATTCCACCTTGACAAAACTTAAATCGACTCCTAGGGTATAGGCAGCCACCTGGGCCACTTTTGTGTTCATACCTATAAATGGAATAGAAAGTCAATCAAAGTACATATGTACCAGCCCATTAGACTTACCCTGCCCCATTTCGATGCCTCCATGGGTAACCACAACTGTGCCATCCACATGATAGATTGCCACTGTAGCCGGATACTGTCCAAAGTAGAAGATGGGATAGTCCATTACTGCCAGTCCAAGGCCCCGTTTCGTCCATCGATTCTTGGCATTATGCGACTCGATCTCCTTCTTTCTCTGCGCATATTCCCTGGACTCTAAGAATTGAGGAAGCAATTCTGATATCTTATTTCCAGCTGGTATGTTTGCCAGTCGCACTTCGGCAGGATCTTTCTGGACTTCGAAAGCAACATGCTCAACTATGTTCTCCATCATGGCGATTCCCTCCACGGAACCCGGAGCCCGGCACCAGGTGGAACTGGGGGCATCAGTGAGCACGGCATTGCCGTTGTTTCTAAAGTTCTCTCCAGTTAGGTCATAGCAATTAGTGGCCGTGAAGGTCGAGTGACCCTCTATGGGGCTTTCATTGGGACTCCATCCAGCGTCCTCGTAGAAATCATTCGTCAAGCCCACAATCTTGCCATTGGACTTAACATGACAGTGATAGTCGGAGCGACAGGCCCATCGCTTGCCATTACAATCCATCATGGACTCCAGAGATTGGACGAAGCGAACGGGGCGATTTAGCTTATAGGCAGCTAGTGAAGCAGCACAGGCCACTTGGTTACCACGAGATATCTTCGATCCATAGCCACCTCCCAATCTGCGGACCTTCAGTTAAAAGCGTAGGGTATCTTTATGCGATCAGTAGTAAAGTGAACCTTACCTGTAACTGCACATCCTTAGCCTTCACCTGGAGCATATGAGCAATCACGGACTGAGTGTGATCCATCCATTGGGTGGCCGAGAAGATCTTCAGTCCATCCTCAAAGGGAATGGCCACAGTTGTCTGGGGCTCCATGGTAAAGTGATACTGCAGACCCATCTCGAAGATTCCCCTCACATCTTTATCAGGTTTATCCGTGAATTTGATCTTCTTTGAGTCCGAATTGGACACAGGCACAATGCGAGATGAGTCCGGGGTAGAAGATGCAAATACATCTCCCAAGCTCGGAAGCAACTTAAAGTCCGCGCTGGGATTGCTGTAGCTGATCCTCACCAGCTTCGTTGCCCGCTGAGCTTGGTCAACAGTCAGAGCCACGACTACTCCCGCTGGCTGTTCCGAATGGCGCACCAGTCCCGAGCAGAAGATCTCCTCTGCTTCGTACCCAAAACTGGGCTCACAGAAGGTGTTCGTTCCGGGAATGTCCTTTGCGGAGTAAAAGGCCACCACTCCAGGTTGCCTGAGTGCTTCCGAGGCATCGATCAGATCAATGGTGGCTCCCACTTTGGTGGCCCCCACGAAAGCACAGTGCAATGTGTTGGAGGTGGTCAGGACATCGTTCATGTAGGTGGCCTCCCCTGAGCATTGGATCATTCCCTCCACCTTTTCCACAGCCTGGGTGACTGGGTAGTTTTTCTTCTGGGTCTGGAATACTTGCAGACCAGAGGAGAGTGGTCGCAGTAGGATCTGCCCTCCACTTCGGAACTTCTCACCAACATCCTCCTCGGGAGCGTGTTTGAGGAGGAACTTGTAGAGAAGTCCACAGGCCAACTTGGAGCGATAGATAGGACTGGCATCGGGTAGCACCTCGTCTGGCTTAATCAGGTCCTCCAATTTGGTGAATGTCTGCTTCACTAAATTGCTTTCATAGGGATTCTGTCCCACCAGCAATTTTTCCACAACTGTAGCGTGTACAAAATCTGGCCGAATTCCCCCGAAGCAAATGCGTGCAGACTTCACCTTGGACTCAGTTTCCAATTCTAGGAGAAAAGCCGCGTTGACATAAGCATGGGCATTCTGGGCACGAGGCATGATCTGTGGAGGGGTCGTTTTGTTAGGGATAGAATTTTAAGTCTGAAAAGATTTCATACCTTATAGGAGTCGTAAATATATTTATCCTTCGGATAAGCAGGAAGTATAAAGGCCTTTAGCAACAGCTTCCTATCATTTGTGCTTAGATATTCAGACAGGGACATTTCCTTCTCTTCGGTAGCATTTTTCAAGGCCAGAACCTTAGCATCCAGGGCCTCAAAGGATATGAAGATGTCCGAAGGAAACTCGGGATGCTGCTTCTTAATCGAAATATTGCCAGCCAAAGTTCCAGACTGAAGGAATGGGGAATGAAAACAATATTCAAACTTTAAAGATCACCTCTACTCACGTTTCGCACTGGAACATTAGCAATCAGGTCGATATGATTCCACAGGACCTCCAAATACTCGAACCCTGGTTGCTTGGAAGTAGTGCGAAGGATTTCCATGGTCTGGGTCAGACTGAGATTAGCTCCCAACTTCAGTTGCTGCCCCTCGGAGCTGTGCTGATGCAGTTCCTCCACTCCGTGCACAGCGATGAAGTGCTTGATATCGATGGATCTGCGGTAGACTCCATGAGCCGTATTGCCAGCCACCAGCATGAACTCATCTGAATCCTTGACCTTGTCTAGGGCCGCAAAAAGCTCGGTCAGATTCTTGGGCCAGTGCCACTGACTTCCGTCCTCATAGACCAAAGTAGATGGGTGACAGCTGCCACTGCAGGGTTGCCCTGTCTTTGGACAGTTTCGAGCCTTCAGATCCTCAATATCCGCACACTCTGCTGGAATCTGAATGTTGCTGTCCACGGCAAAGGACTTCATGGCATCCAATATCGGACGGTAGCCAGTGCAGCGGCAGATGTTGCCGCCGAAGGAGTTCTCCACCTCCGTCATGCTGACCTTGCCATCGTTCTGTTCGAGTAACCCGTACATGTTCATCACGAATCCCGGCGAGCAGAAGCCGCACTGGGTGCCATTCATCTTGGCCAACCGCTTTTGGATTGGATTGTAGCCGGTGCGCTGATTTCCCAGTCCCTCGGCGGTCACGATCTCCAGCTGGGCACAGGTATTCAGCAGAGTGAGGCACTATGAAAAGGGGGATAATCATAAGAGATCGATTTGAGGGATTTAGGGGGATCTGATCCTACCGAATTGACAGCCCAGCTGCGCTTTCCATCGCGCACCACACAAATGCAGGCGCCACATCCCCCCTCCTGGCACATAAATTTGGTGGCCGTAAGTTGGGCATGCTCCCGGATAAAAGTGTTCAGCGTAATATCCGGAGCAAAATTGGTTAGATTCACTGCGGTGTAAAAGGGAAGATAAGAAGAGATGATGAGAGGTTGCGCACAAAAAGTTTATGAACAAAACCTGTCTGTTATTCCGTGAAAAAAAATAAACAATGGGAATAAAATTTGCACTCTAATTTGCTTTGCCGATTTTGTATATACCAAAATAATTGTAATTAATTTTAACCTTATTCAAGCTGGCTAACGCTTACAGCCGTGAATCTAGCGGAACTAATGATCTGCTTGGTTTTTTAGTAGACGCGTCGTAACACTTGCAAAAATAAACACCCACTTAACAACCGCAATTAACCATAGAACTTTGAAGATGAATGATATCTTGAGGATAAGGCATTGTTACACCATAGTAAATACTTTCCTCTTTAAATACTAGAATGTTCTTATTAATAAACATAGAAAAAATGTATATTTCACGCTTTTAATCGATTCCAACCATGATTAATTCAACTTACCTGCATACGACACTCCGTTGATTGTAAATTTCGTAGACATTCTGATAGATTTCTCAACAACAACAAGGCAACAAAGACTGAAATGTCAGCTTTTCAAATGTTTTCTATAAATAATTCAATTAGTTTTGACACTGGCTGAGGTTTTCCATTATTTTCCATTGGTTGCTTACTTTTGGCTCCGGTCGCTCCGAGTGCCGTTGCTCAACTGATCAAAAAATCGCGTCTTGGGCCCGTTCCCCGTTTTTTAGATTGCAATTTTCTCGGCCGCCGTAAACAAACAAAACGTTAGTTTCGACACACACATGCACACTCCGTGTGAGCTAACAACAATTTGAGTATATTTTCGAGCTTGACGATCGACGTTAATTGCAGTTTGGAGACTGGTTGCTCCTCGGTTGCGATTTCAGCTTGTTGCTTCGTCGGCCGATTTTGGCAGCTGTGAAGTAGTCACGATTTTTGCGGGAATAGCTAAAATAAAATCAGAAAAAAGGGGGCATAGATTCGGCATAAGAAAGCTTTGGATACCCTTCCAATATAAAGATTCAAATTTTTAAATAAAACGGGTTTGCTTTAAGCCATTTTAGATAGAACTACTAATTTTAATTCTTTGAAAACTATGTTTAAAATTAGGCAATGAATATTTTACCGTTAAACAAATAAACATTTAATAAATTGTTTAGAGATTTTTGTTACACCAAAAATAATAACATTGATCTGAAAACTGATACTACTCAACTCAAGGGTATTAAAAGGAACAATGAATGAAAAATAATATATCGCTGACGCAAAAAATAACTATTATCAGCCCATTGTTTAAATTAAGCATTTATTTTGATTGCATATGCTGAATTTTTGGGTGGGCTTCATGAGCACTACACTCATATTTATTTTTGCATTGTAGGCTATTATATTATATTCGACAATAGGCAGACTCTTTAATCTGCTTTTAATTTGCGTCGAACACCATAAAAAACAATAACAAAGAGCCAATACAAATCACGTGTACTCTAAAAATAAAAGAGAGTGTGAGATAAAAAAAAAAGAGAAGAGGGAAGCCGGCCGGCAAAACATATAAAATTTCCTCTCCCATTCTCACTATTAAATTTAAAAGCTCTCTGCTTTCCAAAAAATAAATAATTTTAAAAGCTTTGATGTGAAATAACTTTTAGCAAAATCTAGAAAATCAAGCTTTTTGGTGTCATTAATCATGTAGCAAAATGCTTTGCTGAATGAAATAATAAGCAAGATTAACAATCAAAAGAAAGAAGCAAACTAATATATTCTTGGAGCTGTTATGCTTAAAACACGATTATTTAGAAGTGTACCACTTTGAAATCGGATGTCTGAAAGAGAAATTGTGGGCTTAGAAGAGCAGGATTTAGTGCAGGAAAGGAAAGATTAAGGAATTTGACAAAAAATCGACCCAAAAATAAAAATTAAAGTGAAAACACAGATTTTTAGACGATTAAACCACAATCATTTCGAAGTATGCCTCTTTGAAATCTGAAGACTTTAAGAAAAGTTATGAACTAAGGTGTGCAGTTTTTAGAAACTTTTCTGCAAAGCCATTTTTAGAAAATTTTTAAAAGGGACGGACGGACAGATTTTTTTGGCTATATCGACTCTCCTGGTCATAATAGGGTTGAAAATGTGCCCTTCACTGCAAGGCAAAACTTTTGGCAAACAAGTGAAATATATTTTATAAATGAAAGCAAAAGTTTATTTGCATTGAAGCATATACATATTAGAATTGAAAAAGCAATGCTCACAATGGTAAGATCCTTTAAATAAATCTATTTCAACTTGAACTCCGCAACTTGGTGACCGGCATTGAGCAACAATGTCTCCGGCGTTGTGGGAGCCCCCAGGCGAAGCCATTCCCGAGGAAGTCCTGCATCCTGGCGGGCAGATTGCAGGGCCTGTTGCAAGGCGAATATCACGCTGACTGATAAACAGCAGGGTGGCTCTCCAGTGGCCTTCGAACCCATGAATCCTGCTCCACTGGGTCGCGGATTGTGCACCAACTCCACGCGGAAATCGATGGGAATATCCTTGGCACCCAGTGGCTTGTAGTTCCAGGTGCGGTTGGTCAGCAGTCGTCCGTTGTCGCCCTCGTAGATGAGCAGTTCGCTGAGCCAGTAGCCCAGACCCATCACAAAGGCACCCTCCACCTGGCCGACGTCTATCCAGGGACTCAGGCTCTCTCCCGCATCCTCCAGGATGTCCACCCGCCTGATCAGTATATTCCCGGTCAGCACATCCATCTCCACCTCGGAGAGAGCCAGTCCCAGGACATGATAGTTCTGCATGTCGCCGGTTTTGTAGTGATCCGAGGCTATAAGATTGATCAACTGGGCATTGGCTGCCTCCACGGTCTCCTCCCACGTGGCCTTGGCCTTCTTCACCGGCTTCAAACGAGCGTTGAGGGTCTCGCAGATCTTGCGCACCGCATAGCAGATACTCTCACTGCCGATGGCATAGCCGGTGACCATCGAGTTTGCCCCGTTGATGGTATCCGAGGACTCCACTTTGATGTAGCTCAAATCGATTCCCAGGGTATAGGCCGCCACTTGGGCTATCTTCGTATTCATACCTGTGTCGAAATGAAAGGGGAATCACTATAAAGGAAAATTTCAAGAAACCTGAATCTTTGTCTTACCCTGACCCATTTCGATGCCTCCATGGGTGACCACAACAGTGCCGTCCACATGGTAAATAGCCACTGTGGCCGGAAACTGACCAATGTAGATGACGGGAAAGTACATCGCGGACAAGCCCAATCCCCGCTTTTTCCAACGATTGTTGGCGTTGAACGTCTCGATTTCCTTTTTTCTGCCGTAATACTCCCTCGACTTTAGAAATTCTGGCATCAATGTAGCCATCTTACTCTTTTTGCTTATGTTAGCCAGTCGCACATCGGCTGGATCCTTCTGTATCTCAAATGCCACGTGCTCAATGATGTTCTCCATCATCGCAATACCCTCAACAGATCCGGGAGCTCGACACCAAGTCGAACTGGGGGCGTCTGTGAGTACGGCATGTCCACTCAGCTTGAAGTTACTGTCCGTAAACTCATAGCAATTAGCTGCTGTAAAGGTGGAATGTCCTTGGACAGGACTCTCGTTCGCATTCCAGCCGGCGTCCTCATAGAAATCGTTGGTGAGTCCCACAATCCTGCCATTGGACTTGACGTGACACTGATACTCAGAGCGACAAGCCCATCGCTTGCCATTGCAATCCATCATGGACTCCAGAGTTTGGACGAATCGAACAGGACGATTCAACTTGTGAGCAGCTAAGGCAGCAGCACAGGCCACCTGGTTTCCTCGGGAAATTTTGCACCCGTAGCCTCCTCCCAATCGTCGAACCTGTAATGAAAATTACTCAATGAATAAATCTAAATTCATCAAAATAATCTACATTACCTGTAATTGGACATTCTTGGCCTTCATCTGGAGCGTATGAGCAATCACAGACTGCGTCTGATCAATCCATTGGGTAGCCGAAAAGACCTTGAGGCCATCCTCGAAGGGAATAACCACCGTGGTCTGCGGCTCCATGGTAAAGTGGTACTGCAGACCCATCTCGAAAATGCCCCTCACTTCCAAATCAGGCTTGTCCGAAAGTTTGACATGCTGCAACTTTGAAATGGCCAAGGGCAGAATGCGAGCAGGATCTGGAGTTTCGCAGGAGAAAACATCTGTCAAGCTCGTCATCAACTTGAAGTCGGAGCGAAGGTTGCTGTAGCTGATCCTCACCAGCTTGGCAGCCCTTTGAGCCTGGTCAGCAGTTAGAGCCACCACTACTCCCGCTGGCTGTTCGGAGTAGCGCACCAGTCCCGAGCAGAAGATCTCCTCCGCCTCGTAGCCAAAACTGGGCTCACAAAAGGTGTTCGTTCCGGGAATATCCTTCGCAGTGTAGAAGGCCACCACTCCCAGGATTCTGGAGAGCTTCAGAGGCATCGATTTGATCGATGGTGGCCCCCACCTTGGTGGCACCTGCGAAGGCGCAGTAAACGGAGTTCGAGGTGGTCAGCACATCGTTCATATAGGTGGCCTCTCCGGAGCACTGGATCATGCCCTCCAGCTTCTGCACCGCTTGGGTTACTGGGTAGGTCTGCTTTTGGGTCGAAAAGAGCTGCAATCCGGAGGAGAGTGGTCGCTGGAGCAGCTCTCCCCCGCTTTTGAACTTCCCACTGACATCCGAGTCGGGGGCGTGTTTCAAGAGGAACTTGTAGAGCAGACCGCAGGCCAACTTGGATCGGTAGGCGGGACTGGCATCGGGCAGCACTTCATCCGGCTTGATCAGGGCCTCCAATTTGCTGAACGTCTGCTCCACCAGGTTGGATTCGTAGGGACTGTGTCCCACCATCAACTGTTCAATGTCTGAGGCGTGGACGAAATCTGGACGAATGCCTCCAAAACAAATACGAGCAGACTTCACCTTGGAGTCGGAATCTAATTCCACAAGGAATCCTGCGTTCACATAAGCATGCGCATTTTGGGCACGTGGCATTATCTGTAGGAAAGTAAATCTTTTTATTTAAATCGTTTACTAATAATTATTACCTTGAAAGAGTCGTATATATAGTTATCCTTTGGGTACGCAGGCAGTATAAATGCCTTGAGCAGAAGTTTTCTATCGGCATCTCCCAAAAATTCCATTAGTGAAATTTCCTTTTCGTCATTTGCACCTTTCATGACTACAACTTGTACATCCAGAGCTTCAAATGATATGAAAATATCGGATGGAAACTCGGGATGTTGTTTTTTAGTTGAAATATTGCCAGCTAAAGTGCCTGACTAAAATTGATAATATTAAAAGGAGTTACGAAATGGATGTACACTTACATTTCGAACGGGAACATTGGCCACCAGGTCGATGTGATTACACAGCACCTCAAGATACTCAAAACCTGATTGCTTAGAAGTAGAGCGAAGGATTTCCATGGTCTCGGTCAAACTAAGATTAGCTCCCAATGTCAATTTCTCTCTTTCAGAGCTATGTTGATGCAGTTCCTCCACTCCATTCAAATCGATAAAGTGTTTGATATCCGGGGATCGCCTGTAAACACCATGAGCCGTATTACCTCCAACCAGCATAAATTCATCTGATTCCTCGATATTGTCCATCGCCGCGAACAACTCCGCCAGTGAATTTGGCCAATACCACTGGGATCCATCCTCGTAGATTAGTTTTGACTGCCGACAGTTTCCCTTGCATGTTTTTCCCGACTTCGGACAGTTGCGAGCCTTGAGGTTCAGATCCTCCATATCCACACATTCCTTCGGAACCTCAATAGTGCTGTCCACCGCAAAGGACTTCATGGCATCCAAAATGGGACGATAGCCAGTGCAGCGACAAATGTTTCCCCCGAAGGAGTTCTCCACCTCCTCCATGGTCACCCTGCCGCCGTGCTGCTCCATCAGCCCGTACATGTTCATCACGAATCCCGGCGAGCAGAAGCCGCACTGGGTGCCATTCATCTTGGCCAGCCGCTTCTGAATCGGATGGTAGCCACTCATCTGGTTGCCCAGACCCTCGCAGGTAATGATCTCCAGCTGGGCACAGGTATTCAGCAGCTTGAGGCACTGGAAAGCGGTGGGAGAGGTTGGTTAGTGGTGGAGTGATTCGGCTGATCTCTGACCCACCGAATTCACTGTCCAGGTGCTCTTCCCATCGCTGACTGCACAGGCACAGGCCCCACATCCCCCCTCCAGGCACATGAACTTCGTGGCCGTAAGTTGGGCGTGCTCCCTGATGAAGGTGTTCAGAGTTATGTCCGGAGGGAGATCACTAAGGTTGACTGAGACATGGGATGGTTAAGTGATTGGAGGGCAGTTTATTTGCATCCTTCATTCTTTATCCTACCCGTATAAGGCTGTCCATTAATGGTAAATGTGGTGGACATTTTGCTTTAATTTTAAATTTAACAAATGATTTTTTTTTTTTTTTTTCACTTCTATCTGCAGTAACGTTGTCTGCTCAACTGACGCTTTCTGGTTCAAAACCTCCTAATATTGGATTCAGCCAACTATAGACTTATTCTATATTTGCCTTTGTCAACCACTAAATAAAGAATAATTTGCTAAAAATCATTATAAATTGCATTTTCTCGGTTTACTGATTTCAATTAACTTTTGTTGCGCTGTATTTTCCATTATTTGGTATACCGTTTAGCAGAGGTAACTTATTCCATTAACCATTTAAAGGGTGTTTAATACTTTTGTATAAAGGCTTAAATGCATTTGGGCATTTAGTCAAATTGAATTTTTGTGTTGCCAACATTTTTGTATATTCAGTTTTATTATGCACTTTTAATCCCTAACAAGCCTTAATGTTTTTCATTATTGGCTCTCTTATCGCCTTTCGGATTTTGTATCTTGACGCGACTTAATTAATTAAATACATGTTGCCTCCTCGTTGTTTCTCTTATTAACCCTGCCCAAAAGCGGAGGTGAAAAGAAGCCGAATAAAAACTGTCAACTCATTGGTAAATCATTTGTCAAAATATAAATCGATGTTTCCTTTCGGAGAACGGTTGGAACGGGTCAGCCACGAAAAAATGTTACATAATCATGCACAAAACATGCAGAACAAGAACCAATCCAACAACAAAGCAGCCGTTCCGCCTTTGCACCTTATCGATATTCAAGAATCGTTTTCCAAACACAAAATAATAATAATCAAAAATGAAAAAAAATGAGAGAAAAATGATGAGGAAACCTTAAACAAGTAAAATTAAAATATGAATAACGCAATCTTTTCTCACATGGCTAAGCATTTTGGTTATAGGAATCGGAGGCAACCCGCTGTCAAACAGGTAAGTTGAGGGTAGAGGGGGGGTTTGGTTTCTGGAGACCCCGACACTGACCCAGCCGCTCCTTGTTGTTGCCGTTGTTATTGGGGGAGTGTCCATTGTTGTTTCTTCTCTTTTTTGGAGCTGTCATGCATAATAAAATTCCAATATATTCAACCGTACGCCTTCGCCCTGTCTTCGTTCTCGATTGCGGATCCTTATCAAACAAGAAAAGTGACGTGAGCACCTCCATCTCCGCCATCTCTGACTCCAGATTCAGAACCCGACCCAAAAGATGATGCACGGACAGAGGAGATGGGACCCGGTCTCAACGGTCGAGACATCCCCACACCCTGGCTAAGTGTTGGGCTTTATTGGCCAACGGCCATTTGATGCTCAGCAGTGCGGCACGGATGATGACACTGACCCACTGATAGCCAGTCGAAAGCCCAAGCCAAGCCCAGGTCAGGAGGGCAAGGTGAGACGCCTCCCGGCTCAATCCATAAACATGCCAGCCGAGATGTTCGCCCGCCTCGGGGCCTTGAGATTAGTCAAAGTTTTTGAGGAAACTTTTCGCACAGAGATAGTGAAAGAAAAAGTGAATCGATGAGGTCCAAAGTTGAGGGACTTCTTTTTGCTCATAAATACAGCCATGTGTCACATCTGAAACATACCAAAGAATTACTGGGATGATTGTAAAGTGAATGTGTCGAAGAAAAATGTTCAAAAATTAAAGCTAAGAAACTAGCTACATATAGGAATTTTAGCTTCCTTTCAAAAAGATTAAGTAAGCATTAATATAAATTAAAATTCATGCTTACGACAAAGGCATCAATTTTAATTAATAAATTATTCTTAAGTTTGATAGTTGGGAAAAGAAACTTTTATCACACCAAGAGCATTTATTACGAGCATAACTTGGACTCTCTAACATCCCCAGCTCATTTTGGGTAACCAGCCAACCGGTCTTATTTTTGTTATACCGAGAAAAGTAGGGGAGACAGAAATAAATGGGTAACTACTCCATGGTGACACTGTTAACCCTTTGTCACTTCCATTGACAGTTCAATAATGCGTCATTTGGTGTATGTCAGGGTTGTGGAGATGGGACTTTACGAGGTCCCTTTTTCAAAGGAGTGAGGGGAGATCGGCGCACACTGCTGTCACATCAAACTGGACAAAAGAAAGACTTGAAATTGCCAGCAGGTATCAAGAATCCTCATCTTGGTAGGGTAAAGCTGGGTTTATTGGGGAGCTTAGGTTGAAATTGAGCTGCAATTCATACGGATTTATATTTTATTTATTATTACCGACGTATTATTCAAGGAATCCTTATTTTATTGTTAAGGTATGTTCTTTACTAGTTTATCTTTTAAATTGATTTTTTACTTTATGTAATTTTGTGTAAATTGCTTCTGAAAGAAGCTCTTAAATGCTAATAAAATATTTTTAAATGATTAAAGTCATCAACTGTTTTATTTAGTTCAATGCTAGGTAAAAGATTTGAAAGAAACAACAACTTAAATAAAACAAGAAAGGAAAGCTAACTTCGGGCGGAGCCGAAGTTGATATACCCTTGCAGAATACTCTGTAAATTATATTCTCCAAAATTATTCATATAATGCATTCTTAATACTCATAAAAAATCCCAACTTCCTAACTTTACAAACACGAAAGTTATGGCATTTCCGATCAATCAGTTATATGGCAGCTATAGGATATAGTCGGCCGATCCTTATGAAATTTGGTAGGTCGGATTGATTGGCCAAATATAAAACCCACAGAAAATCTCAACTTCCTAACTTTACAAACACGAAAGTTATGGCATTTCCGATCAATCAGTTATATGGCAGCTATAGGATATAGTCGGCCGATCCTTATGAAATTTGGTGAGTCGGATTGATTGGCCAAATATAAAACCCATAGAAAATCTCAACTTCCTAACTTTACAAACACGAAAGTTATGGCATTTCCGATCAATCAGTTATATGGCAGCTATAGGATATAGTCGGCCGATCCCGGCCGTTCCGACTTATATACTGCGTGCAAAGGAAAGAAGGGTGTGTGCAAAGTTTCAATTCGATAGCTTTAAAACTGAGAGACTAGTTTGCGTAGAAACAGACAGACGGACAGACAGACGGACAGACGGACAGACGGTCAGACGGACAGACGGACAGACGGACAGACGGACATGGCTATATCAACTCAGGAGGTGATCCTGATCAAGAATATATATACTTTATAGGGTCGGAGACGTCTCCTTCACTGCGTTGCACACTTTTGACCAAAATTATAATACCCTCTGCAAGGGTATAATGAAAGATCATGCAAAATGACTGTTACTAAAAATGCTTAATACATTTCCCAATAATAAAATGATTTAAAATGGGATACCAGTTTTTAAGTCCTACAGTTAGTGCTTCAGATATTCTATTTGTATATTGTCTACATTTATATTTATATATTGTCTTTTTTGTAACCAAGAGTATTCAAGTTCTACTCACTTGAAAGACGCTTTGCAGCTTCAGTGTTTGTGAGGTCCGCTTTTGGCTATATCCTTGGCTTACATTGCTTTTTGGCTCAGTCCTGTGGTCCTTCTTCTCGTCGAGTCTCTTGTCGCCTGTCGGATGTCACATTAAATTCGCATTATTTGCTTGAAATAATTTCGCGTTTATCGTTTTTAGCCAGCTTCCCCGACCGTTTGATGCATGTGCCAGAGGGTTGAGGCATTTTAATGACTTTTGCTGCATTGGCTGGCAGCTTTTTTATGGGTCGTGTGATAAATGATTGCACTTCGGATAAGTTTGTGGGGCCGAAATGCCATTTAATTGATTCATCAGCGCTTCATTATTGATTAGCAGTGGTTTCCGTATCGCTCTCGGTTTCGAGTTACCCTTCGATGGAGCCACCCAGGTGCAAATGGGATCGGCTTGTGATCGGAACAGGGTTGGGCCGGCATGCACCTGCCGTGCCCCCTCCATAACTTGCCCAAAAACTGTCGTCGAACTCATTTGCGGCAGACAAATGGGAATTAAACCACTATTTAACATTTCTATTTTACGAGTTCAACGGAAAATCCATAAAAACTCTTTAAACGGAACCCTCGCCTCTGTCCCGCCGCCATCGGTTCTATTGGCGACAAATAAACAAATAACGAATTTTATATATAAGTGAAATGAGCTTTGCAGCCAACAAAGCAGACAGCGGAAACCTAATTGAAAGAAGCCACGCAAATTGAGTTAACCAAGCGGAAAACCAGGCCATTAAATGTCAACCGGGAGAGTGGGGAGTTGGACGGGTTCCATGGACATGGTTATGGAATCGGACTTGGAGCAGCGGGAACTACACTTCATCCCGCTCCGTTTCGATTCGATTCGTTTCGATTCCATTCGATTTATGGCATTCGCAATTGTGTGGCAATTTAATAGCAATTTGCTGTAGAACCCGAAAATTGACGAAGCTCTGATGAAATGCAATTGGAAACTTGTCACGGCTCCACTGACCCTCTGTACTTCACCGTACTTCCCTCCACCAGAATTGTAACAATGGTAACAACGGCAATATCAATAACGAACTATATCGATCAGAAATCGAAAGTTGAGTGGGTTTCAATTTTATAGCGGGGCCAGACAATTCTTATTTGTTTTCTGGCAGGAGTTGGTAAAATTTTTAACTGTCTTCTTTAGATAAAATAATTAAAATTTCATGTTATTTTAATCGTTATCTATCTCGTATTTTAATATAGTTGTCGCCCAGTTATCTTTTTCAGTTTTCGGTTTGATTTTTTTTTTGTCTGGGCCTACACAAATATTCCTTTTATTGCACAACTTGGCAAGGCGCCTACCTAGCAGATAAAATCCCGATAACTCAGCCGGCGACGAACAGCAAAACATTAAGATACAAAGATAATATAAAACAAGACAGAGGATATTTGGATCCATTTGAGTAGAAGTGCAGATACTCTTAGATTTTAAATATTTTAAATTAAAAATTATGCCAGAATGGGAGTGAACTTTTTACACTAAGGGGAAAAAACAAATACAATAAAATTGTTACAAGCTATATATGTAACATTGTATTTTGCTTGTTAATGTTAGTAAATCCGATTCTAGAACTTAGCTACCTTTAAATTTAATTTATTTTAATTTTTTATAAACC